TTTATTGGTGGAGACTTATTTTTAATTTTGTGATTTTTATAAACAATGACACAATAACTCTGATTATTATCTGTAGGATACATTTCTTTCTTTTTTTTTTTTTTTGAGAAAGAAAAAAAGAATAATAAAAAGAATAAAGAAGAGGAAGAAAGAGAAAGAGGAAGAGGGAGAGAGAATGGGGGTATTGCTTTATTGCCTGGGCTAGAATGCAGTCTAAATATGGGTATGCCTATAATTTTCCTTAATAATGGAGACATAAAAGAAAATGAGGGAAGAGAATAACAAATAAGGAGCCAACCAACATTTCGTTTAAACTTCTAAGTTGATATGATGTGGTACTGATAAGAGCGTATATTTTGTATATTTAAAGTGGAGAGTTCTATAAATGTTAATTACGTTTACTTGTTCCAGATCTGAGTTCAAGTCCTGGACATCGTTGTTAATTTTCTGTCTCATTGATCTGTCTAATACTAATGTTGAAGTCTCCCACTATTACTGTATGGGAGTCTAAGTCTCTTTATAAGTCTTGTATGTCTGGGTATTCCTGTATTGGGTGCGTATACATTTAGGATCTTTAGCTCTTCTTGTTGTTGCATTGATCCTTTTATCATTATATAATGTCCTTCTTTGCTTCTGTAGGATACATTTCTAGAAGTGAATCAGAAGTTGTATGCCCTTTCCCCAGACTTTGTATATATGTATTGCAAACTGTTCTTTATAAAGGTCATTCCAGTTTTTATCTCCATCATTAGTATATCATCATGCCTTTTTTCCATCGCTGACCAATGCTAGATGTTAGAAATACATAACATCTTTTACAATCTGATTGGCAGAAGTTTTCTTGTTTTTATTCTTTTTGAATTCTAGTGAAGTTGGACATGTTTTCACTTATATTCCTCTGTGACTTTCTTCTTTGTGTCTTTTGCCCAATTTGTAACTTGTTTTTATTATTATGAAATGTGTTTATGTACAAAATGCACACAATATATATGTGGTTTAAAGATAAAACAAATATCTGCATATCAGCTATTTAAGAAATAGAAGCTCCTTTCCTTTTTCCCTGTTGTATTCTCTCTGGTCATATCCTCCTCTCTGCTCCTAACCAAGATGAAACTACCATTCTAACTTTTGGTATTTTGATGACTGTAAATACCAAATAGTTTCGTTTTGAAAATTTGGTAGCAAGCCTAAATCTAGCTATGTGATGAAAGGGTAACAGTGCCACTAGTAGATGAAAACTCCCAGGAGAAGTTAAGGGAACAGCATGACCTGAATCATAGTCTGGTTTTAGCTTCTCTGGAGTTTACCAGAGCCACTTTTGGGGAAGTTTGTGTAAATCATGAGTGAATCCTAGCAATCTTAAGAGTTCATTGTAATAAGAGAATCTGACAGGCCCAGAGTATAGACCAGATAGTGTATGTCTGAGAGAGGCTGCTCTGTAATTTTGATTTCTAAGCTCACCATGCAGTTGATCTTGATAAAAGGACATGGAGAGAAAAGCAGGAACATCATGAGTTTATGTCAATACAAGCCAAATACAGAGAATTTTGGCCAGGTTCACCTGGGGATTCTGTCCTATGGTTAAAAGATAGTACAGTATCAGTGACATTTTTGATGATAGAAGTCCTCAATGTGTCTTATCTTTTGATGTCCAAGACGTCATGTGTTTGGACTGACAGGAACAATGTAATCTGTGATCCAACTGTTGGTTATCCTGTTATTTCCCTTTACTGCATCTTGGGGATACTATTTACTTCTCTCTCCTCCATTTGATCTCCCAATGCCTGTACTTCATGTCTTTCTCTTTCCTGATGTATTCTTTCATTTTGATGGAGTATGTCTTCTAGTCACAACTTGGGGAAGGATGTCTGATAGGTAAATTTTGGGATTTTGTGTGTCTTCATTTTGCAGTTATACTTAGCCCCTTGGCAAAGTGTAGAATTCTCGGTTGAAAGCTTTATGCCAGAATTTGAAGGTATTGCCCCTTTGATTTTGTCCTTCTGTTATTGTTGCTGAGACGTCTAAAGTCATTTGATTCTAAGCTTTTGTTTTCTGACCTTTTTTGTTTCTTTCTAGAAACTGGCATTTTGCCTCCACTGTTAGGAATCTTTACAATGATATGCCTTGGTACATTACACTGAGTACTTGGTGCACATTTTCATCCTGGAAACTGATTTCCTACAGCTCAATACTTTAAAAAAGTCATATTATTGATGATTTCTTTCCTCTTTTTCTTTGTACTTTCTTCCTACTAATCAAATGTTAGACCTCTTAGATTGCTCTTCTAATTTTCTTACCGTTTCTCCTTTTTTTAATCTCTGTGTTTTGTTTTTTCTGAGAGGTTATTTCATCTTTGTCTTCCAACCCTTCCATTGCCCCTTTTTGCTTCTTCATGTTTTCTTATTTCTAAGAGTTCTTTTCGTTTTCTTGATGTTCCTTTTTTTGTGGCATCCTGTTCTTATTTCTTACATCCCTAAGAAATCAATGAGTTTTAAAAAATGTTTTGTCTTAATAGTCTCAGTTTCTAACAAATTAATTTTTTAAAATGTATTTTGTCTGGATCTTGAACTAATATTAGGGGGTTTTCTTAGATGTCTGTTAATCCTTGGCTGCCTGCTTGTGTCTAAGAAGCTCATGGAAAGCCCTGTCTGAACCCATGGAGGGGCTTGTAACACAAGGTTTTAACTACCACTGTGAGGAGCTCTTTGGGCTGGGCCAGGCACCAGAATCTGTCCCAGTGCTGCTCCAGCTGGTGAAGCTCCAGGACTTTTTTCTTTTACTCCAGTCTATTACAACTGATAGTTTTAAAGCATAATAAAAATAAATTGCCAGAATAATGAAATTTGAAAAATGAAGACATACAAAACACAAGTACATATTTTTATTATTAGATTCAGTAGACATAAACCTAACTCTGAAAATTTCAGTAATCGTTTCTAAATGCTTATTTTCGGTTTTGGTACTTACCTTGTCATGGACTGGTGACAGATGGCTTATGGACCATAGTTTAAGGAGCATTGTTGTCACCTAGGAGCAGAAAAAACCTAGAAGCAGAAAAAAGGGATATGGGGTGACGGTTTGTGTCTCATATGTATATGGTCATTTAATCCTTTTGGTTTTAGCATAGGGCTACTCTCACCAGAGCCTGATGACCCCTAAAACAGCGATTCTGTTTTACCCTTTGTAGAGAATAAGCCTCTAGGCTTCTGTAGTGGGGAAACAGCAGTTACTGATAGTGTGATAGAGTGGGGAAGAGAATCTTAGCGTCTAACTAAAACTCAAACCAGCTTTCTCCAAATTTCTTTCTGTTTTAGCTTCCCCTCCCTCCTTCCTCCAATTTCAGAGTTGCTTGGTGCTGCCAGTTCTTAGGCCTCGTAAAGATTCAGAATGTAAAATGTGTTAGTTCCTAGCTTTCCCATCTGTCTGCAGGGTCATTTACTACCTACGTATCTGCTTTTCAGCATCCAAAGTTTTGTTGCTATTGGTTCTTTTTCTGTTTTCCATAGTTAAATTTTCTGTAAGGGTTTCTAAATATTTGATGTCGAAGGTGTTTTCTCCATCCAGTCTTTTCTGCTTCCTTAACTGTATTAGTAACAATGTTCATATTCATTTCTGTGTTGTAGGTTATATTGCACACAGATATTTCTTCTATATTACATTTTTAAAGTTTTCTTTGTGATTTAAATTTGAATTTGCTGAAGTATTTACTGAAAATTTTTTCCTCAAAGAGTACATATATAGTGTATTTTCTGAATCTTTGCATATCTAAAATTGTGCTTTTCTCTCACATATGGGAGCTTTTCTGGATATGAAATTAATTTTGGGGTTACCTCAGAACTCTATATAAATGTTATTCCATTGTCTTCTCGTGTTTGTATAGAGTTGTGAGTAAAATGTCTGATTAATATTGGTGTCTGATTAAAGGTGGTGGTGTTGATGAAAAACAAATGCCTTTTTTTAGGTAACTGTCACTACCTTTCTGTACCACCTTTTTGGATAGCATTTCATCTTTATCTTTGAAACAATTTTTACAAGGATAAGTTGTAGATACTGAGTTTTGTATTGTCCTTCTACCTTGTAATCTTGCCTGGCATTTGCAGAGCCTTTGATTTTAAAATTTCAGATCTTTTTGGAAAAAAAAAAAATAGGTACTTTTTTTTCCTTTTTTTCAAAATCATTATTTGTCCCCCATCTACTTTGTTCTCTCTTCTATGACAGTCAATATGCTTTTTTTTTCAGTATCCTAGATCTTACTAAGATTGTTAGTTATTACCCGATTTAAAAAAAAAAGTTTTCTATTTTTTTATTGCAGTGACTTTCTTTTCTTTCTTTCCTTTTTTTTTTTTTTTTTTTTTTTGAGACAGAGTGTCACTCTGTCACCCATGCAGCAGCACAGTGGCATGATCTCGGCTCACGGCAACCTCCGCCTCCCAGGTTCAAGTGATTCTTGTGCCTCAGCCTCCTGAGTAGCTAGGATTACAGGCGCATGCCACCATGACCAGCTAATTTTTGTATTTTTAGTAGAGACAGGGTTTCACCATGTTGGCCAGGCTGGTCTCGAACTCCTGACCTTAGGTGTTCCCCCACCTCAGTCTCCCAAAGTGCTGGGATTACAGGCGTGTGCCACTGCGCCAAGGCCTTACTGCAGTAACTTTCATTATAGTCACTGCTGGGTGGGACAACAGGGGAGGGTTTTCTCTAAGGGTTCAGATTATTTTCCCTTTTTAGAGCTGCTGCATCCAGTGATGTTTCTGCCTACTTACTTTTTTTTGTTGGCATTGGTAGTTGAGATGAATTCTTAGAGAATACCAGGATTTTTCTTAGTGCTTTAGTTAGGAGAAGGAGAATTTGAGAGTTAATCTAATTTTTTTCTGACGGTCTAGAGATAATTCGATTATGTGGTGGAATGACAGAACTCTTAAGCAGAGGAAGATAGCCGTGGGTGTAGGAAGATTCATCTTTGTTCAGAAATAATGTCCTCTTTGCATCTCTCCTGACAGCTGGTGCTAGCAACTCACTACCCTCTCTGGCCTCTGGACCTAGCTTGAAGTTCTGGATTATTTCCTTCTTCCTTGTACCTCAGCCTGAGCCTTCTGTCACCCAAAGGGCTCCAGCTGGTTTTTCACTCAGGCCTCATTTTATCTTCCAAGGTACGTTTAGGGGAAGGAGTAGACAGGATTATGTCTCTCACTTCCTTACTTGGGGCATAATGGGTAGATCCTCATTAAATATTGATTGGATAAATGTTCCCTAGTGAACTACCTCTTTAAAAATGGTGGCTAGAGATGTGTTGGCATTTGTTTTCACACCCCTGTCACCAGATTGTTTTCTACCAGACATCTTGCCATGTGTATATGGAATGTTTTTTAGCTCCTAGCCATTTTGTAGGAGTTTTTAAATTACATTTTTTTGGTTGTTTCAGCGGGCACTTAGGAGAAGGAAGAAATCAAATGTTTTCAGTTGCCATCTTCATATATGAAACTATAGATTATTTTAATACTTTTACAAAATTATATTATCTCAAGACTTATTGAGATGTTGGTCAAGTCTTATGCTGTAATAATACATATATAGAAGGCAGTAGTTTAAATAGCACATTTAAAACCAGTAATTTGGGCTGGGCATCTTGGCACACACCTGTAATCTCAGCACTTTGGGAGGCCAAGGTGGGTGGATTGCTTGAGCTCAGAAGTTCAGGACCAGCCTGGGCAACATGGCAAACCTCATCTCTGCAGAAAAATACAAAAATCAGCGGACTGTGGTGGTGTATACCTGTAGTCCCTGTTGCTTGGGAGTCTGAGGTGGGAAGATTACTTGAGCTGTGGAGGTTGAGGCTGCAGTGAGCTGAGATTGCACCACTGTACTCCAGCCTGGGTGGCAGAATGAAACTGAGACCCTGCCTCAAGATAAATAAATAAATAAAATCAGTAATCTGTGTTGGTGGGTAGCGATTGGACTGTAGTAAAAAGAGCAATTAGCACATAGGTTAGAGGATTAAAATTGTAATACTTTTTTGTGTGTGTGTTGAGATGTTTACAATATGCCAACATTTTTTGTCCATAGGTGGCAACCTTAGTATAAATTGCTGTCTGGTATCATGTTTGTGTATTAATCAGAGTTCTCCAGAGACACGGAACCAGTAGGATACATACACCTTGTTTAATGATGGGAATGTATTCTGAGAAATGAGTCACTAGGTTATTTTGTCATTTTGTGAGCATCATAGAGTGTACTTACACAAACCTAGATGGCATAACCTGTTATACCTAGGCTATGTGGTATAACCTATTGCTCTTAGGCTACCTGTATAGCATGTTACTGTACTGAATAGTGAATACAAATGTAACACAATGATGAGTATTTGTGTATCTCAATGTAGAAAAGATGCAGTAAAATTACAGTATTACAGTGTTAATCTTAGGGGACCACTTTTGTTTATTTGGTTCATTGTTGACCAAAACGTAATTATGCAGCACATGACCGTATGTAGATTGATTGATAAATATGTAAATACATGAGAGGGGTTTTATTAGAGGAATTGACTCTTGTAATTATGGAAGCTGAACAATCCTGTAACGGGTTGTCTACAAACTTAGAGACCTGGGATGCTGGTTGCATGATTCAGGCCAAGTCCAAACACCTCAGAACCAGGGAAGCTGATGGTCCAATTCTCAGGCTGAGGCTAAAGACCTGACCAAAGTAGGGCTGCTGGTCTAGTCCTGGAGTCCTAAGGCTAGAGAGCCTGGAGTTCTGATGTCAAAGGGCAGGGAGGAAGAGAGTATTCTTGCTCTGAGAGAGTCATGGAAAATCCTTTTCTGTCCTTTTTTGTTTAGTCAAGGCCCCTGGCTGATTGGATGGTGCCCACCACACTGAGGGCCTATCTACCCCACTCAGTCTACTGACTCACATCCCAGTCTCTGAAAACACCATAACAGACAAACCCAGAAGTAATGTTTTACTGGTTTTTCTAGGTATTTCTTTTTTTTTTTTTTTTTTTTTTTTTTTTTTTTTTTTTTTTCTGAGACGGAGTTTCGCTCTTGTTACCCAGGCTGGAGTGCAATGGCGTGATCTCGGCTCACCGCAACCTCCGCCTCCCGGGTTCAGGCAGTTCTCCTGCCTCAGCCTCCTGAGTAGCTGGGATTACAGGCGTGCGCCACCATGCCCAGCTAATTTTTTGTATTTTTAGTAGAGACGGGTTTCACCATGTTGACCAGGATGGTCTCGATCTCTTGACCTCGTGATCCACCCGCCTCGGCCTCCCAAAGTGCTGGGATTACAGGCTTGAGCCACTGCGCCCGGCTTCTAGGTATTTCTTAATCCAGTCAAGTTGATACCTAAAATTAACCATCACAGATTGCTTCCCCTGTGCAACAAATTGCACATAGTTAAAGACAGACTCTCTGGAGAAACTTAAAATTTGAGGGCAAATAACAAATCCCAAACTACCTAAAATATACAAACTTCTCTAATGCTATATATAATGCTATATTATATATGCCATACGTTAAATATGAAAAAGTTTGACATTCAACTTTAACAGTTACCAAGCTTCAGTCAGAGCTAAGTGGATTTCTTAATAAGATAGTCTCTGTTACCATTATTGTTATGCCCTTTTTTTGTCTTACAAAAATGTTCCCAGTGAAGCTTTTGAACCTCTTGAAGTTGAAACTAGTGAAAACACGTGAAATCTTGAGTAGCACAGAAGAGGTGTCAAATGTGAAATAGGACATAAGCACTGTAAATACTGAGTTTCCATCTGCTAGGCACCAAACATTTTTTGATACTCAGAAATAGAAAAAGTGTGAATTACATTTTTGTAATATTCTCAAGGTCTAAGAGAGGCATTATTAGAGAAGGAAGCCAGAGCTGGCTGTTATATTTTATTTCACAACCATTTTGACTCCTGAGTTACATATTAATTTTTACGATTTAGACAGTTTGATTTCCTACCTCTTCATGTATTCCATTTCCCCACTCTTGCCCTAGTCCCTGAAGGAAAACTTAACAGATGATTTAGAAATACTATTTTCTTTTTAATCAATTCATATAATTCTTCCTATACCTAGCCTGGGCAACCCATTCTGGATTCACATTTTACTGTATTAGTCATGGCATGTAAAACAATTCAATAATTGGTACCCTTCTGATTACCTTTTTTTTTTTGAGACGGAGTCTCGCTCTGTCACCCATGCTGGAGTGCAGTGGCACAGTATTGGCTCACTGCAACCTCCGCCTCCCAGGTTCAAGTGATTCTCCTGCCTCAGCCTCCCGAGTAGCTGGGATTACAGGCGCCCGCCACCATGCCTGGCTGATTTTTGTATTTTTAGTAGAGATGGAGTTTCACCATGTTGGCTAGGTTGGTCTTGAACTCCTGACCTTGTGGTCTGCCTGCTTCAGCCTCCCAAAGTGCTGGGATTACAGGTGTGAGCTACCATACCCGGCCTGATTACTTTATTATAGGTCTCTTAATATGTAAGTAGTTCAACTTTTAATCATATTCCCTCAGTTAAAGGATTTCTGAAACAGTAAAGTTCCTACGTATTTAAATTAATTGAAGTTTAAAGGCAGGACCTTTGGATAGACATTATGGGTGGAGTTTAATGTAATTTCTACTTTGTTTTGTTTAGCTTATCTAATTTTTTCTAGTCATATATCTGTATCTATATATATAAAAGAGCACCAAATTTAAAACATGTAATTTTTCTAATAATACAGTTTGATATTTTAATGACTGAACCTTCAGTATTCAGAGTCCTGTCTCAACAATATATTATATCCCATACATGGTAATCACATACTGTAATAGGGGTAGCTATGATTTATATAGCACTTTAAAGGATATTTTTTGTATATATTTTCTCATTTAATCTTCACAACAACCTTGTGAAAGACATAGGGAAAGTACTAATTTTTCCCCCATTTTACAGATGAAGGAACTAAGACACAGAGATTGAGACTTGTCTAAAGTAACATGACCAGTAAGTGCTTGAATTAATGGAGGTAGGTAGTGATGGTTATGTTCTAATCTGCCAAGGGCTTTTCCTTGCTGTCATCTGGTCTGAGTGCTAGGGATATAAATCCATATAGCCAAAATGGTAGGGAACAGGAAAGGTAGTAAGTAGATGGACTTTGGGACTGCACCAGAAAAAATGGTGCTATTCTTTTAAATTTTTTCCTTTTTGTTCTTTTGTTTGTTTTCTAACCTGTAAGCAATGATAAGCAGGTATTTTGAGTTGTTATTGTTAGATGAATGAAGCTTTTGTTTTAACTGTAGATTATCCCTGAGGAACTAAGGAAGTAGAAAATCTGGAGAGAAGTCTGTTGGGATCCTCACAAGGAAATAGCTATTGGATCAACTAAGCAAAGGAGAAAGTTAATAGTATGTGGGTAAACCACGTGTACATAACTGGAACTTTTTAGGATTCTCTTGTTAAGATTTTAAAAATCTTGTTTAAAACTGTATTAACACCTTAATATAAAAATCTTAGCGCTTGAGCGTACTTACCCAACTGTGGTTTTCTTTAGATGAGAAAACTGAGGTCCAGAGAAGTTGATGCTTTCCCAAGGTCACACAGCAGAGCTGGGACTAAAGCTTGCATTTCCTGACTTCCAGATTAGTGTTATTTTTACTTCAAACTATTACTTCTTGGTAAGCTGTTCTTAAAATATTTAACAAGTTTTTTGTATCTTTATGTTTTTGATTAACCTTCCTACTTTGTGCCAAAGTGAACTTAAAGATAAGAAATTTACTATTACTTTTGTGATAAGAATTTCAATTCTTTGTTTAATTTTAGGTGAGTTATTGTGGGAAAAATCCTGTATTTTGAAGATGTCTCTACACAGTATCGTTTCCTGTTTAAATTACAGATAACTTCAAGAGTTTTCAGAAAAAAAGAAATTGGGACTTTTTTGGTTAAATCATGCCATCTGAACAGAAACAGTTATTTTGTGATGAAAAACAAACTACTTTAAAAAAAGATTATGATGTGAAAAATGAAATAGTTGATAGATCAGTACCTAAACCAAAAATTTCAGAAAGTATTCATTATGAACTGAAAAATGTGAAAATTCATTTGCCAAAAATAAATATTCCAAATGAAGTCCTGTTGAAAGATGAAATTGACAAATACAGAAAAATATTTCAGAGTAAACAGCAGACTGCAAGAAAATCTATCAGTATAAAGACTATAAGCTGTGTAGAGGAGTGTACATTGCTTCATAAGTCTGAGAGAGCCGAAGAAGAGGGTATAAACATGTCTGCAAAAATACTCAATTTCACCTGTTTAAAATGCTGCGACAACACTCGATATAGCCCAAATGATTTGCAGAAACACTTTCAAATGTGGCACCATGGTGAATTACCTTCATATCCTTGTGAAATGTGCAGCTTTTCAGCAAATGACTTTCAGGTATTTAAACAACACAGACGAACCCATAGAAGCACTTTAGTAAAATGTGACATTTGTAACAATGAGAGTGTATATACTTTATTGAACTTGACAAAGCATTTCACATCCACGCATTGTGTTAATGGTAATTTTCAATGTGAAAAGTGTGAATTCTCCACCCAGGATGTTGGCACATTTGTTCAACACATTCACAGACATAACGAAATTCATTATAAGTGTGGTAAATGTCATCATGTATGTTTTACCAAAGGAGAGCTTCAGAAGCACCTTCATGTTCATTCTGGTACTTTTCCCTTCACTTGTCAATATTGTAGCTATGGTGCCACCAAGAGAGAACACCTTGTAAGACATGTTGTAACTTTGCACAAAGAACATTTATATGCAAAAGAAAAACTGGAAAAAGACAAATATGATAAAAGGATGGCCAAGACTTCAGCAGGACTTAAGCTAATACTGAAAAGATATAAAATAGGTGCATCAAGGAAGACATTCTGGAAACGTAAGAAAATTAACAGTGGAAGTGACAGAAGTATAGAAAAGAACACTCAGGTGCTTAAAAAAATGAACAAAACACAGATTAAATCTGAAGACCAGAGCCATCTTGTTCAAGAGCATTTAACTGAAGAAAAGGATGAAACACTACACTGTGAGAATAATAATAAAGTCACTGAATCAGAGTCAGAGAAGCCAACTGTTCTCTCCACTGGGCAAGGTAATAGAGCTGAAGAGGGACCAAACGTTAGTTCAGGTTTCATGAAGCCTGCTGTACTAGGACCTACAGTGTTACTGGTGAAAAATAATAAAATAACAATTCCCCCTAACTATAGTGCTAAGTTTATGGGCTTCAAGATGGTAGATGGAAAACAGCATATTGTAATAAAGTTGGTGCCTATCAATAAACAAAATTTATCACCAGTCTCACATTTAGGTGCTGCAAAGGTACTTCCTGGTACTGCTAATTTGCAGCCCCAGACTTTGGACACTAATGGATTTTTAACAGGAGTAACAACTGAGTTAAATGACACAGTTTATATGAAAGCAACTACTCCATTTTCATGTTCATCTTCTATACTTTCAGGGAAAGCAACTTCAGAAAAAGAAATGACTTTGATTTCTCAAAGGAATAATATGCTTCAAACAATGGATTATGAGAAAAGTGTATCTTCTTTGCCAGCGACGTCGGAATTGGTTACAGCATCAGTGAATTTGACCACAAAATTTGAAACAAGAGATAATGTTGACTTCTGGGGAAATCATCTCACTCACAATCATCCCAAGGTATTAGGTACCACCATTAAAAGTCCAGATAAAGTCAACTGTGTCACCAAACCAAATGCATACAGCAGTGGAGATATGCATAATTATTGCATTAATTATGGCAGCTCTGAGTTAACTGTTGAATCCTCCAACCAAGGATCATTACCGTTTCATAATTACTCAAAAGTGAATAATTCTAATAAACGTCGTCGGTTTTCAGGAACAGCAGTGTATGAAAACCCTCAAAGAGAATCTTCATCCAGCAAAACAGTTGTCCAGCAACCAATTAGTGAATCATTTTTGTCACTAGTGAGGAAGGAAAGCTCAAAACCAGATAGCCTGTTAGCATCTGTTACCCTTTTAAATGATAAAGATGGAACTTTAAAAGCAAAATCTGAAACTGAAGAACAGTATGTTTTAGAAAAAGGACAAAACATTGATGGACAAAACCTGTACAGTAATGAAAATCAAAATTTAGAGTGTACAACTGAAAAATCTAAATGGGATAACTTTTCTAATGTTGATTCACCTATGATGCCTAGAATCACATCAGTTTTCTCTCTCCAGAGCCAACAGGCATCAGAATTTCTGCCACCTGAAGTAAACCAGTTGCTTCAGGAGATACTGAAAATGAAACCTGATGTAAAACAAGATTCTAGTAACACTCCAGATAAAGGCCTTCCACTTCATTGTGACCAGTCATTTCAAAAACATGAGGGAGAAAGCAAAATTGTTGAACCTTCAAAAGATTACAAAGTGCAAGGCATCTTCCCGGTTCCACCTGGCAGTGTGGGTATTAACGTGCCTGCAAATGATTTGAATTTGAAATTTGGAAAAGAAAAACAAATGCCATCAATGCCACAAGATGTGAGAGATTCAGAGAAGATACCTAGAATTTCAGGTTTTGGCACGTTACTTAAGACTCAGTCAGATGCGATAATAACACAGCAGCTTGTAAAAGACAAACTACGAGCCACCACACAAAATTTAGGTTCTTTTTATATGCAGAGTCCACTTTTAAATTCAGAACAAAAAAGAACTATAGTTGTTCAGACTTCAAAAGGACTTTTTGTACCAGTGAACATTACTAACAAGCCTGGGTTACCGGTTGTTCCAGGAAATGCACTTCCATTCGTTAATTCACAAGGTATCCCTGCTTCTCTTGTTGTAAACAAGAAAACTGGGATGATTTTAACATTTAATAGTGGGAAACTTGAAGGTGTTTCTGCTGTCAAAACTGAGGGCGCGCAAGCTCATGGAACTATGACTAAGGAGCCTTGCAAAACACCTATTTTGAAGGTAGAACCAAACAGTAATTGTCTTACACCTGCAGTTTGTTCCAGCATTGGCAGTTGTTTGAGCGTGAAAAGTAACTCAGAAAATACTTTGCCATTAAAAGGTCCTTACATTTTGAAACCAACGGGTTCTGTGAAAGCTGTTTTTATTCCTAATATGTTATCTGAGCAACAGAACACTAAGTTGAATATCTCAGATTCAGTAAAACAGCACAAGGAGATTTTTCCAAAACCACCTCTTTATACCCTCTTGCCTGATGGCAGACAAGCTGTTTTTTTAAAGTGTGTGATGCCAAATAAAACTGAGCTGCTTAAGCCCAAATTAGTCCAAAATAGTACTTATCAAAATATACAGCCAAAGAAACCTGAAGGAACACCACAAAGAATATTGCTGAAAAATTTTAACCCTGTTTTAAATGTGACTGCTGCTAATAATCTGTCAGTAAGCAACTCTGCGTCCTCATTGCAGAAAGACAGTGTACCATCTAATCTCGTTATAGGAGGAGAGCAGAAAGAGCCAGAATCTTCTAGAGATGCCTTACCCTTCTTACTAGATGACTTAATGCCAGCAAATGAAATTGTGATAACTTCTTCTGCAACATGCCCAGAGTCTTCTGAGGAACCAATATGTGTCAGTGACTATTCAGAGGCCAGGGTATTAAGATGTAGAACCAATTGTACAACTGAGAGAAACTTCAATAGGAAAAAGACTTCCAAAAAAATTTTTTCAAAAACAAAAACTCGTGGAAGTGAAGACTTGGAAACTGCCTTTGTATCTAGAAACAGGAACTGTAAACGCAAGTGTAGGGATAGTTACCAAGAACCTCCAAGAAGAAAAGCAACATTGCATAGAAAGTGTAAAGAAAAGGCAAAACCTGAAGATGTCCGTGAAACATTTGGATTTAGCAAACCTAGGCTTTCAAAAGATTCTGTCAGAACTTTGAGGCTTTTCCCTTTTAGTTCCAAACAGCTTGTGAAATGTCCTAGGAGAAACCAACCAGTTGTAGTTTTGAATCATCCTGATGCAGATGCACCAGAAGTAGTAAGTGTAATGAAAACTATTGCAAAATTTAATGGACACGTACTTAAGGTTTCATTGTCAAAAAGAACTATCAGTGCTTTGCTGAAACCAGTTTGCTATAACCCTCCTAAAACAACTTACGATGATTTTTCCAAGAGACACAAAACATTTAAACCTGTTAGTTCTGTGAAAGAAA